ACCTGTGATCTCACTTAATGCAGTGAAGCAGACACCTCTGTGCCTCAATAAATTCATGTCAGCATCATGATCTCTTGATGATATAATTAGTAACTTTTTTCAGCCCTTTGTCACCCTCCCTGATAACCCTTCCCCTCCCCCTTCTTCTCTTCCTCTGGTCTAATAGTAGTCTTCTTTCTACTTTCATGTCATCTCTTTTAGCTTCCACATATTGGGGAAACTTGTGTTACTTATCTTTCTGACTGTAGCTTATTTCACTTAATACGATAATCTCCAGTTCTATCCATTTTCCTGCAGCTGTCATAATTTCATGCTTCTTTACAGCTGAGTAATACTCCCAATGTGGTACAATAAACGTGTGTAGATGTACCACATTTTCTTTATCCATTCATCTGTTGATGGGCACCGAGGCTGGTTCCATATCCTGCTGTATATTGTGCCACAATAAACATGGGTATGCAGGGTATGCAGGTATCCTTTGTTGACTTTAATTCTTTCAGGTATGTAACAGAGCGGCTGGGTCAAATGGTATCTTTATTTTCAGTTTTCTGAGGAACCTCCATACTGATTGCTTTAGTGGCTGTACTAATTTACATTCCCACCAGCATGGTAGAAAGGTCTCCTCCCCCACCCCCATCCTTGCCAGAATTTATTGGTTTCTTTTTAAAAAAGTTTTTGTTTTGTTTTGTTTGTATTCTTGATGACAACCATGCTTACTGGGATGAGATGGAATCTCTGTACTTTTGTTTTACATTTCTCTAGTGGCTAAAGATGTTGAACAGTTTTTCATATACTTATTATACTTATTGGCCATTTATGTATTTACTTCTTCTTTTGAGAAGTGTCTTTTGCCCATTTATTGATGTTTTAGTGTCAAGTTTTTTGAGTTTTTTATATATCCTAGATATGACTCTTCTGTCAGACGAATAACTGGGCAAGACTTTCTCTTTTCGCTCTGTCGATTGTTTCCCTTGCTGTGCAAAAACTTTTAAATTCGATGTCGTCTCATTTTGTTCATTTTTAGTACTATTCTGGGCTACTGGAGTCCTATTCAGGAAGTCTTTGCCTGTACCTATGGCTTCAAGTGTTCCTTCCATACTTTCTAATAGCAGTTTCCATGTTTCAGGCATTATCCTTAGGTTTTTGGTCCATTTTGAACGGATTTTTATGCAGGGTAAGAGATAAGGATCTAATTTCAATCTTCTACATATGGATATCCAGTTTTCTCAGGATCATTTGTTGAAGAGGCTGTCTCTTCTCCACTGTACATTTTTAACACCTTTTTCCAGAGTCAGGTGGCTGTAGTTTGTATTTGTTTCTGTGTTCTCTATTCTATTCCATTGGTCTACGTGTCTATTTTTGTGCCAGTACCATGCTGGTTTTTTTTTTGTTGTTGTTTTTTACCATGGTTTTGTAGTATAATTTGAAATCAGGAATTGTGGTGCATCCAGCCTTGCTTTTGTTGCTTAGGATTGCTTTGGATATTCAGGGTCTTTTGGGTTTCCATATGAATTTTAGGATTCTTTTTTTCTGTCATTGATATTTTGACGAGGATTGTATCAAATCTGTAGATTGTTTTTGGTTATATGGTCCTTTGAACATTATTAAATCTGCTGTTCCGTGAACATAGGAGGTCTTTCCATCTTCTACTGTCTTCTTCAGTTTCTCTCTTCAATGCCATGAAACTTTTATTGTAGACGTTTTTCGACTCCTTAGTGATTCCTGTGTATTTTTGAACAGAATTGCTTTCCTGGTTTCTTTCTCAGCTAGTTCTTTACTGATTTTTAAATATTTTTTCAGCTATAGCTTTTCTGCGCATTTATTATAAGACCCCAACAGTGCTTTATTTTCTCTTTTCAACGTCCTGCTCTGCAGCTTCCTTGGCTCTCTTTGCCAAGATGCCAAAGAGCTGGGCGTTGGCACGGGCCATGCCCAGACTGACGAATGCCTTGAAGTTTTTCTCCTCCTTCTCCTGAGATGCCTTCAGTTCTTAAATTGACTCTGTGAAGTAACTATTCTCATTTTAGAAGCACTTTTTTTTTTGGTACGGGGGATTGAACTCCGGACCTTGCGCTTGTGAGGCAGGCGCTGGAACCACTGAGCTAAATTCCCAGCTTCATTTTAATGATAAAGAAACTGAGGATCAGAGAGGAGAAATCATGTGCCAAAAGCCACACTGCTGGGTGGTGGCCAGGACTGGGTTTGAACCTTGCAAATGATGACTGCCTCGAAGACCTCGCATGCTTATAAAGGCTTCAGGGTACCAGTTTGTTCTTCCATCCATTGAGAAAATACCCCAAAAGGTGTCAGGAGGCCTGAAGGCAATGCCAGTCCAGCTGTCCACAAGGGAGATGTTCAGTGGCTGTCTTTATGTCCATCTCTACACCAGACCACTGTGACAGCAGGGCCTGTGTCTCATTGATGGCACCCTCAGGGCCAGAATATGCCCAGCGAAAATGCTACTATACTGGTAACTGACCAATCCCTATGACTACCTGCTTGAGGGGTACAGCAAATGATAAAAGACAAAGACAATTTTTCAGATAAATGAGGGGCTGGGAGGTCAATGCCTCATGTTAGGCAAGAACAAAAGACTCTCCAAGCTTGCCGCTATTTACTGAGTACACATAAGCAATCAGAGGGGGTGGTGAGTGACTCAAGGAACAGCAATGGTGGTTGCCAGGGGCTAGTAAAAGAAGAACAAAGCATTCTTGTAAGGATTGAATATGTTAATAGGGAACCTGAGTCTTTCCCTAAAGTGGGACTTTAACCTCTACTGCATTGTTCTGAAGAGTCAGGTTCTCAGATGTTATCTTGCCCTGTGAGCCTCAGGGCTTTATGGGTCTTCCCTCTGCCAGAGTACTGCTGCTTTCTCTGATTCTCATTTTCCACATTTCCTATATCAAAAGCAATAACAGATGCCTGAAAGAGGCCCCGAGAAGATGAAATAACATGAAGCAATTAAATAAAGTTCCTTGGCACCCACAGGTTTTTGAGGTCATCTCTTTGGTCTTCTCTGTGCCCAGCCCTGCCTGGCACTCTCCGGTCCTGCCCTGGTGCACATTAGCATGGAGCCTTGCATGCTCTCTCCTCTGTGTCTTCCCTGTACCCAGCCCCTTAGGTTCTCCTAAGATCCTGGGGGAGGGAACTGTTGGGATAAGAGTCTGGCTGATGATCTAGGTCAAGCCAGTTGATCTGGGTTCAAGGGGTCTGCAACTTCCCAGCAGGATGATCTTGGCTGATCACACTCCGCTACTCTGAAATTCTGCTTCCTCCTCTATCAAATGGGAATAACTTCAATAGCTCCCATTTCTGGCTCTGAGCCCCTTCAGCTCTCTGGTTCTTAGAACTGGATTTACCTGATCCCCTTCTTTCCTGCAGGTGTCACCAGCTGTGCACAGGGACTGATTGGCCAAGGACCCACATTTGAGTATTCCGGGCACCACAACAGTGAATAGTGAGGGACTCTTGTGGTCAGAACTCATGTCTCCAGAGGGGGCCAGTGACCACAGATGGGGTAGCAGCAGGGGGGAGGGACACTAGCAGAGCTGTCCCCTGGGCTTTGGAACCATGGGTTGGAACCCAGTTTGTAGCACCATATCTCTCTCCCTCATTGCACTTAGCACTGTTGGAATCCTTCCAGTATTTGAGGGATTTTTGGTGAATAATTGCCTCCCCTCACTGTACTGTAGGGAAACAGAGGGTCCCAAAGAGACAGAAGAGATGGTTGTCAAGAGGAGAAACTGACAATTGGGTTTGAATCACATTTCAGCCTTTTCCTAGACAACCGACTTCAGCTCTCTGTGCCTCAGTCTCCTCATTTTAAAATTGGGGTTCATAACCTTACTCACCGAGTAGTTGTGAGGACTGAACAAGTTTATATATGCCAAGTACTAAGAATAGTGCCTGTTGCCAACATAAAAACACAAGAAATAATCTCAATAAAACACAATAGGTTGGGTGTGGTACCTCATGTATTGAGGAGGCTGAGGCAGGAGGATTGCTGTGAATTTAAAGCCAGCCTGAACTACATAGCGAGACCCTGTTTCAAAAAATGTATACAACCCTTGTTCTTTACATCAGTTTTATAAATGTAATTATGAGCTGTCCTGTGTTTTAAGAAAATCTTGTTACTTTAGAGAATTAGATTTTCCTTCCATATCAACGTGATACATTTTCTTTTGAAAAGCACTTCAAAGAGCCTTTTTAATTATGAGCAGTTCAGTCCCACAAACAAGAATTTTAACAATTGTGTTTTAGAATCCCTTTACAACCTGTTCAGATACTTTATTGGTTTTAAAAAATCTAGTCATTTATTTAATTTATTTTCTTTTCAGTTTGTGGCTCAGAATGGCTTTAAAGTCACTATGTAGCCCCTCCAATTTGTGGCAATCCTCCAACCTCAGGCTCCCAAGGGCTGGGATTGTAGGTGTGGACCACGCTGCCCGGACAATCTAGAACAAAGGAAAAAATGTTTGCCATCCCAAGTCCTTTTGCATCCAAGATATTTATCTAAATGAAAGTAGGGGAGAGAAAGGGTAGAGTAATGCTTTTCCAGTCCCAAGAGACTGTAGCTAGGAGCTGAAGGAGTCCCCAGGGGCAAACCTCCCTTTCATTGCATATAAAATTCTATGCCAGAATAGTAGTGCTGAGCAACTTTAGTGATGACCCAGGAAGAGAGCAGTTTTAAACTGTTCACATAGATTGAGATTGAAGAGAAATTCCATACACCAAGACATATTGTCTTTGTATTCACTTTAAGAACCTATGAATACTTGGCTTTGTTTTAACTGATTACTCAAATGATTTAATAAACATTTACAAGCAAAAAAAAAAAAAAAAAAAAGAATAGTGCCTGTCATCTAGGAAGTGCTGGAGAGGTGTCCGTTAAATAAAATAGCAACACAGGAAGTGGTTAAATCATCACACCAGCCTCACCAGAGCCAGTAAGGACAGGTTGGTTAACTTCTTCCCCTGCTGATCCCTATCTTGCTTTACAGAAAATGGAGGATGGATATTACAATGATTCTGTCACCTATGATGATGACTACCTGGATGGTTTTGACTCCATCATGATCTTGGAGGAGTCTTCTCCCCTGGAAGGCAGGATAGCCAGGATCTTCCTGGTGGTGATCTATACCATCATCTGCTTCCTTGGGATCTTGGGCAACGGCTTGGTGATAGTCATTGCCACCTTCAAGATGAAGAAGACGGTGAACACGGTCTGGTTCCTCAACCTGGCTGTGGCAGATTTCCTGTTCAATGTCTTCCTGCCCATCCACATAGTCTATGCTGCCATGGACTACCACTGGGTGTTTGGGACAGCCATGTGCAAGATTAGCAACTTCCTGCTCATCCACAACATGTACACCAGTGTCTTCCTGCTGACCATTATCAGCTTTGACCGCTGCATCTCTGTGCTCCTTCCTGTCTGGTCCCAGAACCACCGCAGCGTCCGGCTGGCCTACGTGGCCTGCATGGTTATTTGGGTGCTGGCTTTCTTCTTGAGTTCCCCATCCCTCATCTTCCGGGACACAGCCAATCTGGATGGGAAAATATCCTGCTTCAACAACTTTAGCCTGTCCGCACCTGGGTCTTCCTCCTGGCCTGTTCACTTTCAACTGGACTCTGTGGGGCACAGCCGGCAGCTGGTGGTGACTCTCACCCGCTTTCTCTGCGGCTTCCTGGCCCCTGTCTTTGTCATCACAGCCTGCTACCTCACCATCGTCTGCAAGCTGCAGCGCAACCGCCTGGCAAAGAACAAGAAGCCCTTCAAGATTATTGTGACCATCATCATCACGTTCTTCCTCTGCTGGTGCCCCTACCACACACTCTACCTTCTGGAGCTCTACCACAAGGCCATACCTGGTGTTGTGTTCAGCCTGGGTTTGCCCCTTGCCACTGCCATCGCCATTGCCAACAGCTGCATGAACCCCATTCTGTATGTTTTCATGGGCCAGGACTTCAAGAAGTTCAAGGTGGCCTTCTTCTCCCGCTTGGTCAATGCTCTGAGCGAGGACACTGGCCACTCCTCCTATCCTAGCCACAGGAGCTTTACCAAGATGTCCTCAATGAATGAGAAGTCCTCAATGAATGAAAAGGAGACCAGCATGCTGTGAGTTTCCCTGAGAAGTCCTTAGTGGGCAATCCCAACCCAGGGCTGCCCCAGGACACCCCAAGCCCAGTGTACTTTGCTTGGGGGGGGACCCTACTTCAAGCTGGGAATCCAGCACAGGGAACCTCTTTCTCCAGTGGGGTGGTGGACAGAGCCTATCATGTCGCTCACAACCTTGGGCCTGCAATCTGTGCTTGCTGGGAGATGAACCTTGGCCGATTTGAGACCAACAAAGAATTCTCCAATGCACTGCCATGAACTGGGATCAGCACAAGGCTGTGGGATGAAGCTACCTACTTTGTACCCCAGAAGTGTCACACTCTGTGAGGTCCCTAATGGGCACAGGAGAGGTCAAAGCAAATCCAGTGTGATACAGTTCACACTTCACCCCTTATACCTGCATCAGTAGTCAGCCAGAAAACTCCACTCTTCCAGCCATTCCTCTGGGCTTAAGGAGTGTGAAATGCATAGCTACGTGGGACAGGAAGATGACATCAGCCCATGAACTTTCAAGACCACGAACCTAATGCTCAGATGAGCTGGGAAGACAGAGACTATGTGGGCTCTTTGTAAGAGCAAGACAAGGGGGTCCTGTAAATAGGACTTGGGGCTTGGTGGGGGGGTCAGGAATGGTAAAGGCAGAGCAAAGATCCCCCAAAGGTCACGGACACGCAGCACCTCACCCCAGAACTTCACAGAGCAATGGTGCTTTGGCCTTAGGTGCTATAGGGCTATGGGTGGTGCCATACCCCTGCCCTAGCTCTGCTCCCATCTGGTAAGGGTTACCTGGGGCAGCTGGACAGCGTCACTAGCAGTTGCCACCTGTCACAAGGTTTCTTCCTTCCTTCTCCAATCCACTCAGCTCTGGCTGGAGGTGCTTAGAATAAAACCTTCTTGGGGTGGGTGAGGAGGGGGCAGGGCTTTCACTTTTCTCCCTTTGCCTCCAAGGCTTGTTGGAGACTGGTCCGAAGCACAGCTTTGGGAAGCAGACTGGGAGCATCTCCTGAGGGAGGGGGTGTCCCAGGGTGACCACAGCCTGGGGTCCGATTCCTTCAACCATGCTCCTGAGATAAGACACCAAGCATTCATGTACGGCCCTGTGCCCTGGCTCTTCTCATCTGAACCAGACACTTCCTGCTGCAGGGAATGGCATCGTCTATTCACAAACGACAAAGCTGAGGCTCTAAGGCCCAAAGTAACTTACCTCTCATCACACATAGCGAATCAGGGGCAGAACTTGTCTGGCTCCAGAGATTTCATTCTCTTATTAAGAACTTAATCTGTTGAGACCATTCCAAACCAGAATGACAGCCCACATTTATTTAGCACTTTCCATGTATTATCTCATTTATTCCTCACAGCAACTCTAAGTTAGGTACAAGGATTATTTCCCTCTTACCTATGAGGAATCTGAGGCTCAGAGAGATTAAGTAATTTCCCCAAGGGCACCTAGCTAGTCTCTGCCAGAGGCTGGATTGGGACTTCAGTTTGCCTGGCTCAAATGAGGCTTCAGAGTCAGGAAGCAACTAGAGAGGGTGGAGTTTTAACTATGACTATTGATTCTTCAGCAGATGGGTGTGAACACCTTAATGGCATTTAAGCAGTTCTGCAAGTAGTTTTCAAAATGATCCAACATATACAGAAAAGGCATTTGGCCTCCAGCTCCCTTGACGCCCATGAACATTGCTTCACCCCAGGGCTCCCATTCTCAGAACCCTCTGAGGTCTCCAGGAAAGGGGGTTGGAGGCAGGCTTGGCAAGAGAGGCAGCCTCTGCGGGCCAGGGCCTTCTGGCCCCTAAGTGTCCACATTCTGTTCTCTTCCAAGTTCCCTCGTTGCTAAGCCAATTCTCCAACAGGATGCAAGGAACAGATGTAATGTCCACCTCTCGCCGGGCCAGTCGCTGAGCTGCAGGCTGTTTGGAATCACACTTCATTAAAGGACAGACTGTTCCTTCCTTGTTGGGTCTTGATAGTTATGACAAGGCGGTTCTGAGCGGACACAGTCTGGGGACTTGATTGCTTCAAGGAGTCTGTACTTGCTCCATTTGAGAGCAAAGATGGCCTGTAGTCCCACTATCCCTTCCCTAGCTTTCAGATGAAGCAACTGAAGCACAAGACAGCATCACATTTGTCCCAGGTCACAGAGTCATCTGCGACTTGGAGATGATGGGGCTCCTCCTGGGCTTCCTGGCAGGCCAGGCCAGGATGGGGAGCCAGGAATTCGTGCTGTCATCGGAAAAGCTGATAAACAGGAGCACAATTCAAGCCTGCTGTTTTCCTCCTCCCTCTTTCTGGCTGCTACACCAGTGTCCCTGTTCTGACTGCAGTTTACTGTCAAGTATTAAATGCAACCATGACATCCCCGTCAGTCTTGTCCCCTTATGTTCTTATGAGCATCTTCACGGGTCACATGTGTACCATCCCTGCAATTTGCAGAATGTATTGCCCAAGGTCATCCCATAGGCAGCCAACATGCTCAGGCCCTGGACACCATTTCTTTGGGCCCAGGACCCAGCTATGGCACCCAGCGCTGCTTCTGGTTGGGGTGAATGAGCCAAAGGGGCATGGGAACAAGAGGCAGAGGGACAAGAAGAGAGGATGGTATTTAAGGATGGGGTACCGAGCAGAAAAGAACCAGAGCACGATGTGGAAGGAAAGGGACTTGGCATTTTCAAGCATCTGCTGTGTGTCAGTCCAAACATCCTTACCTGTGATTGGCCCCCTGGAAAGAGGACCGCCACAGAATAGTGACAGAGGCTCAAGGGGGAAATGTCGCCTGCCCAAAGCCTCGTGGCTATGTTGTGAGGCAGCAGAAGAGGCCTGGGGATTTCCAACCTCCTGTTCCCCATATTGTGGACTTTGGGGAATCTGCACTTTCGGAAAATTTCCACTACTTATTTTTATTTTCTTAGCAATCAAGCATACAAAAATGTGGTGGCTTACTCCAAGATAACACAACGAGCCTCAGCAGGTAAGGGACTCAGCCAGGCCTCCAACTCCCACGTGTGTGCTCAGGCAGCTCCAAGATCCACCCATTAACCTACCCCAACACCCACCCACCAATTTGCCCCGGCTTCTACCCACTCATCCACTAATCTCAATACCCTCCTACCCACCCACTCACCCCAGCACCCATCCAACTATCCACTCACCCCAATAGCCAACCACTCACTCCAACACCCACCCAGTCATCTACCCCAATACTCACTCAACAACCTACCCACCCATCCGGGCACATAACCATCTATATCAGTGATGGGAACCTTCCAGAGACCAAGTGCCAAACTGCAATCCAAACCCCACTTACTGATCACCAAGTGCCAACACTGCAATAAACCTGATTACTGAGGTTTTAATTTGGAAAAAACAACGCATACATTCGCATCTTTCGTCTTAAAAACACAAGAACATGTGTGCCATAGATTTGCCACCACTGATCTATATATTCACCCATTCATCCACTGCCTTAAAATATATCTGATACCTACTCTTTGCCAGGCACTGTGGTAGGTATTGAGGCCACAGGGCTAAGACACACACACAGTCTCTGTCCTCATGATCTTCTCCATTGGCTGGTGGGATGGACAGCTAAAAATCAAAAATAAAAAGCAACCCATACACAGCCCCAATGGAAAGTAGTCACAGTGAAGGGCTACACTCTTATTACTGAAGGACCGGAGCCTATTCAGAGGCCAAGGAAACTTCCTTGTGGGAGAGAAACTTTGCAGCAATGTGGAGGATGGATAGGCATCGATTTGGTGGGGAGTGGAGGAGCGCGGTGCTCTGAGGGGACAGCGTGGGCAGCTATGAAGAAGCAGGAAGGAGCAATGGTTCCAAGTGGCCGAGGGGGATGGGGTGGCAGTGAGTGAGGAGGGTGAAGATAGAACCAGAGAGTGGGGATGCCTGTCTTGAGTCACAGGGAGCCACATGCAGGGCTGTGACATGACCAGACCTGTGTCCCGAATCAATGGCCCTGGACGCTTTGAGGAGGACCAACTGGAAAGGGCAAACGAGGAGGCCAGGAGGCCTCTGCAGCCTTGCTGAGGCACTGCGATCCCTGGACAGGACAGGTGAAGGCAGAGCTTGAGAGAAGTAGGCTATGGGGGAGGTATTTAACAGCTCTCCCAGCTTCCTCAGGGGAGCAGTTGGTGGGAAACCAACCCAGGGCCATTTCTGCTATACAGAGGTCTCATTGCACTGCTTTATTGATGGAAATTAATTGAAAATATTATTCAAATTTATCTCCCAATGCACAATTATATTTCTCAGGGGAGCCCTCTGAGTACATAATAAAGCTCCATAAATAATACATATATTAACATAAGAGGAGCAGAGGCAAATTCATGCTGAAGTTGCGGGTGGTGGCTGAGGGAATTTATGCAGATGAGACTCCAAATGCTTGGAGTTGAGGTTTAACCTTGGGCATCACCTGAGTTCTGTCCTGGGAGAATTTCCAGAAGCATCTCCATGCTGGAGGAGACCAGCTGCTGGTCTACACATCTGGTTAGCAGGCAGGTGGGGATGAGGGGACAGCTGGTAAAGGGAGGGGCAGCGGTCACCTGAGCTGGGAGGTTTCACAATGAGAACACCAAGAATGGCACGGGGAGAAGGAGTGAACATCGACTGAGCATGCCCAAGCCCTTCAGCCTCCCCCATCTCGCCGACACGTCACAAGGTCCTTTGTGGTAGGGCGTATTGCTCTCCCCAGAGCAGACGAAGAAGCTGAGGTTCAGAGAGGGGAAGTGACTTGCCCAAAGCCACAGAGTCTGGGTCTTAAGCCCTGTCTGCCTCAAAAGTTCTTGCTGTTTCCCCAGCAACTTGCAAACAGAAATCTGTCCTCTGAAGAGACACTTCCTGGTGGGAGGATGACAAGCTGTACTTTCTCCCCACTGTCATATCTTGAGGAGGAGGAGATGATGGAGGAACATGAAGGATTACCATGTCCTTTGCGGGGAGAAAATGGTATCTGATGGGCTGGTCACTTCCTCACAGCCTTGGGCATCTGAGGGTCTTGCAGTGTGGGAGAGATCTTACTCCATCAGGGCATGCCTTCCTGCACCCCCGTTTGGTTTGGGGACCACCTGCATCACCGACTGCTATGCAGTGAGAGGTGGGTGAAATGCTCGTATCCATTGCTGTTAAAAGCTTCATCGTCCTACAGCCCTGGGAATTCACCAATCTGTCCTCTTCACTTTTCAGTTTCTTGGCCCGGGCTTTGGCATTGTTCTGCCCTGAGAGGCCCTGCCCCGGCTCTGGGGCCACTGAAGAGTCTTCAGCAGAGTCTACTGAAGGAGAAGGAGAAGGCAGTCTCAGAAAGGACAAACTCGCCCAGCGGTTACCCCAGCACTGCTTCACCTTTTGCCCCAACTCAAAGGCCTTTTATGTTTCTGACACAGGAATGGGATAGAGTGGAGCTTGAATCCCAGCTCCACTGTCTACAGCAGCTGGGGACCCCAGCCAAGCTTATTCAACACCTGTGAAGCCTCTCATTTTTCATCTGTAAAATGGGTTTGATAAGAGTTTGCAGCTTGCAGCATTGCTGTGAAGATCAAATGCGAAGCCTCCTGTTAGCATTTAGTCTTTGTTCATCCGCCCCCTTACTGGTCTCCCCACTTTCATCTTTGTTCTTTCCACTCAGTCTTCAGTGTGGAGCAAGATTAGCTTCCATCACTGTACTAGTCAGCTTTCCACTGCTGGGACAAAATACCCAATACATGCAACTTAAAGGAGGAAATATTTATGAGGTGTGATCATAACATGTGGTGAATGTTTAAATTTTTAAAAAATTATGACAGGAAAAGATACATTGCCATTAATTTAAACACACTTACCTCATTGTGCTTGCAGTTCTCAAAGTCCTCTTTCATAGTAACATTTTAAAATGTGATAAAATAATTTGGTGAATGCTGCTGCCATTGGCCAAGTGTCATCCAGTGGAAAGGAAGGCTTATAAAAACATTACAGTGTGTCCTCATCCACCTTATTCACTGGATCTGGTAGTATGTGACTTCTGACTCTTCCCCAAAGTCAAAATGACCATGAAAAGTAAATGTTTTGAATCAACTCAGGACCTCAAGGCAGCCACAACAGTACAACTAAAGATACTCACTGCAGAACTGCTTCAGAAGTGGCAAAAATGATGAGATAAGTGTTTTTGAAGATTAGAAATATTTTGCGGGAGATTAATGGCAATGTGTCTTTTACTGTTATACTGTTCTGAAAAATTTAGGCATTCACAATGTTTTTCAGTCATACCTTGTATTTTGGCTCACAGTTTCAGAGGCTTCAGTTCATGGTCAGGTGGTTCCACAGCAAAAGCATCATGGCAGGAGTCTGTGGCAAAGGAGGGCTGCTCATCTCATGGCAACCAGGAAGCAGAGAGCAGGGGAAGAAGGCAGAGAGAAAGAGAGGAAGGGGCTGGGGACAGGATATATCCTTCAAAGATGTACCCTCATCAACTTACCTCCTCCAAGTCTGCCTCATTTCCTAAAGGACCATTCCGCTATGAATTCATCAGTGAATTAATCCTTTAATGAGGTCAATGTCCTCCTGATCCAATCACCTCTCTATGCCCCACCTCTGAACATTGCTTCACTGGGGACCAAGGCCTTAACACATGAATCTTTTGGAGAAGCTTCATATTTAAACCATATAATCACAGAGTACAATCTAATCCCCTGCGATGGCTCACTGAATCCCACAGAACTGGCCCTGCTTCCTCCTTCTCTGACTTCATCTCATGCTCTTCTCCAGCCAGGCAAGCCAGAAAAGATCTCAAGGACAGACCAGATAAACAACACAACACTCTGGAGAGTGCTCCCAGCTCAGGGCTTTGCACTTGTGTCCAGCTCTAGCTCTACTCTGCCTCTGTCTTTTGCAGGACGGCTTCCTCCACCTCTGTTAGGTCACAGCACAGATGTCACCTCCTCAGAGAGGCCATGTTAAGGTATCCCCATCCCACTGACTATCAGATTCCTTCTTTCATTTCCTTTGTAGGGCACAAAACCGTCTGAAATCATTTTACTTATATATGTGTTTAGCTGCCTCTAGTCTGTCCCCCTAGGGGGAGATGAGCTCCACTAGGGCAGGGACCAGCCCGTTTTCTTCACTGCTGTATCCCTAACACCTAGAGCAGAACAAATCTGCTCACAAATTTTTGTTGAATGAAAGAAGAGATAAACATGCTGACATTTTATCACTTCCACCAACATCATCATCATCATCATCATCATCATCATCATCATCATCATCATCATCAAGTACTATGATGGTCACTATCCCAATACACCATTTCCAAAGTCTTTTTACTTTTTTCTACATTAATGAAACTTGAAGGGGGTAGAATTCGCCCTAGTTCACAGACATGGA